GTGAGTGTCCCCGTGGCATGCACCCTGCAGCAGGGCCGTTGGGACAGGCTGGAGGGGCCCCAGCGTGGGGCTGCATGTCACTGCTCCTCTCTGCTCGCAGGGCTGTGGGGCTGGACACATTCCCCAGGCTGGACCCCCCGCCCCCTGTCACCAAGAAGCGGACGCCGCGTGCCCTGAAGACCCCACAGGACATGCTCATCGCACCGCAGCTGGCAGGGACCACCCCAAGGAGCAACACGGAGGAGGCCCCCGAACTGCCCGCAGCCCACCCCGACCCTGCAGAGGAGTGGCTGGGGATGAGGGACCCATCCCCTCCAGAATGCCCTGGGGTCCCCAGCATGACCGGCACCCCACAGCCGAGCGGGGACCAGCCTACCACTGCCCTCCCCGTGCCTGACCTCATTCATAAGGGCAGCCTGGAGAGCCACTGGCGAGCAGGCGAGAGGGCCACTGAGACCTCACCCCACACAGAGAAGCCCTCCCGGAGACCAGGGCTGGAGCACGAGCTGCCAGGGAGCACAGGGCGGCCAGAGTCATGCACCCCCAGCCGGGAGGCAGAGGGGCCCCATCCCGACCTGTTGTCCTTTGAGTAGCAGTGGGGGAGCCATGATGGGGGCACCGTGGGGGCTGGCTCTCCCAAACATGTCTCTTGCTGCCACTTGCCATTTTGGGGGTCATTATTTTGGAGAGGGGCCAGCCCCAGGGTGGCAGGAGCCATTGCTGCCCCAGTGTGGGGTGTGGGGAGCCGTGACATCCCATTTCTCCTCAGATTCCCAGGAGGGGTATAGCCTGTCCTGCTACAGCTTCTGTAGCCCCATCCCAGGCCCATTCACTCATCATTGCGAAGCTCCTGTCCTGCCAAGGTGCTACCATCCTGACTGCAGCCAGGGGCCACGCTGAGCTGGGGACCAAGGGTGGGCTTGCTCAGCAGCCTGGGTCCTTGTGCACGGGTGCAGAAACACCAGCCTGCCCCTAACCCTGTCAGCTGGGCTGGGGCCAGTGTTCCACAAGTGTCCCCCACAGTTCCCCACATCTGGGCTGGCTGCCCCAGCCCAGAGCATATCCCAGCTTACATCATGTGGTTGCTGAGATACGCTGTCCCGGTGTGCCAGCAGGTTCACCCAGCCCTAGTGCCTGGTGCCAGGGAGCCGGGATGGCAGACATCCCCAAGGCCTTCTCCAGGTGCCAACCCGTTGGCGTTAGTCCTCCCAGTACCATCTCTCTTTGCAGCGGAGCCCCAGCTGCAGGAGACCCGCTCACGGTGCGGGCTCTAGCAGGGAGCAGGGCTGGATGCCTGGGGCCACATGGCTGCTGGCCAGTGGGCTCTGGTGGGGAGTCGAGCTCCTCGCAAGACCTCCTGCTCCAGCTTCCGCTTGTTTCCTGGTCTCGCCCCAGCCACCACGGACCGGACCGACCTGCGCAGGCAGGCAGCCCACTCCATGTGGGCCAGTGCCACCACTCTCCTTTATTTCCTGGGATGGTGACATCTTTGTGAGACTGGGACACAAGAAGCCACGCGGTCCTCTGATACTGCTCTGTGATTGTTTGCCCATGAGTTACAGGAGAGATTAGCCAGCCTGTAGACCCCTGGGCCGGTGCAAGGAAGCAGCTGCGAGATGGCACTTAAAAAGAGCTTACTTTTTTGTGCATCCTCACTGCAAAGGTGGTTTTGAGAGAAAAAGCTCCAAAGACCAGTTTTGGGCTGGAGGAGGCTAGGGGCTCATGGGTGGGGCACCTCTGCTTGCAGCTCCTCCTGGGCCACACAGAGCAGCTGGGCTGAAGAAATGTCTTCCACCACATTGTGGTCCTGCTGAAGGAAGGAGGCCGTGGGCCCGAGAGGTCCCTTTGCCCTGGGAGCAGCCACTGTGCCTCCCTGCCCATCGGCATGGCAGGTGCCGTAGCGGTGCTGGGGCTCTGTGGCGCTTGGCCCCCAGGGAGGCCCTGCTCGAGAGCAAAGGAAATGCCAGAGCTGTGCAGAGCCTGCAGCCAGCTGGCAGTCGGTGCTGAGGCATAACACACCCTGTGTATAATGTGATTATGCTGTGCATGGCCGATGCCACCCCACAAACAGAAATCTATGTGAGTATGCATATGTGTATGCTGCCTAGACCCACACTGCATTGTATATGTTGATGGAAACAAGGGCTTGTATCCCCTCTTTGAGGAACCAGCACCTTCCAACCCTGCCAATCACAAGGGAACCTCACTGCTGGTCCAGTCCCTCTATTTATGTTGCCTAGGTTGTGTAGTTTGGGACAAAAAATGCAGATTGCACAATAAATTGTTTTTTCTTTTTTACCCACTGACACGTAGCAATCCCTTGATGGGAGGGGACCGCCTGCACCAGCTCGGCATAGCCCCGAAGCCCCCTCGATGAGGCCGGGGACCTGCTGGATGCTCCTGCATGGGGGCTGCAGAGCAGTGGAGTGAGGCAGCAGCCCTGGCAGCCCCGTGCAGCTGACGGGTGCCGGGGAAAGCCGCCCTCTAGCGCCAGGCTTGCTGGGGAGATCACACAGGACGATGGGGTCTGCCGTGTTAAAGCCACAGGGTTAAGGGAAATATCCCCCAAAAGCGCTGCCAGAGGCCTGACACCTGCAAAGGGCACCCCCATCCCGTGAGCCAGGCCCGGTGGCACGGCCGCGGGGAGCTGGGGGACGTTGGGGGCGTTTGTCGGTGCCCGGGCTGAGGGGGTGACATGGCCGCCCTGCTGTGCTTGGCGCTGAGGGGAAGGGATCCCCAGTTGGCGCCTGAGCTGGAAATATCCCCCAAAAGCGCTGCCAGAGGCCTGACACCTGCAAAGGGCACCCCCATCCCGTGAGCCAGGCCCGGTGGCACGGCCGCGGGGAGCTGGGGGACGTTGGGGGCGTTTGTCGGTGCCCGGGCTGAGGGGGTGACATGGCCGCCCTGCTGTGCTTGGCGCTGAGGGGAAGGGATCCCCAGTTGGCGCCTGAGCTGAGGGGCTGGACCCCGGTCAGGGCCTTGGGCTGAGGGGACGGGACCCCTTGTCAGTGCCCGGGCTGAGGGGATGAGACCCCCGGGGGTGCTGAGGGGACGGGACCCGGCGGGTGCCCGGGCTGAAGGAACAGGACCCGGTCGGTGCCCGTGCTGAGGGGACTGGAACCCGCCTGTTCCCGGGCTGAGGGGACCGAAGCCCCGTGCGAGGC